CAACATTTACAATTTAATATTTGAGGAAAACTTGCGGAGATATGATGAAGTGTGGCTCATCTGTGTGAACCCGAGTTTTATCTATGTCACATGACAAAGTTATGTATTCTCCCATCTTAGTAAAAATCAAAGAAAATAAAGGATTTGTAAAGCGTGTTTACCTTCCACATAAAGTTCAAGCCTACAGAATGCTGTGCCTCTTCTTATATGCGCTTTCAGACGGGAGTTTGCATTAGCTTCTACAGGGGGCGTCAACAATTCAATTGCCTAATATGGAAAGAAACATTAAAGTCAATAATTATTTACAAGTAAAATAGGAATGTCTAGTTAATGTAATACAGGTCTTTTTCGCGTGCATGTCTTTTTCGCGAATTTAGCGAGAGAACTGATTCGCTAATTCAAGATGTCGCTTATGACCTTATTATCAATTCAAAATGGCCGCCAAACAAAGAAATCAACAATGACAAGAGAGATTCGTTAAATCAACATTTCGCTATTACGTCATTTTACCAAAATGGTTTATAGTATTGACACAACACCATTCTGAATAATTCAAATTTCAAACCATTCTAAAACTTGACCTTTGCACTATAGAGACAACTAACCCTCCTCAGTTTATCATTCATGATTGCAATTAAATTAGTTACTGTGTCACAACAACAATTTATTCCACATTTATTTATGACCACAAACATGTACCATATTTGCTTTATTAGTTGTGCATGTGCTTACGTGAATGGCCGAGGTGTATATCTATAGTCAAAATATACACTGTCATGCCTAAAATGCCTACTTTTAAGCCACATTTTTATTATAAGCCAATCCCACGATTATGAGGTTGTTTATATCATAAAATACATGAAAACTAAATGTAAAATCCTTGTACACTCCAGAATTTTACCATGAATAAACCATAGTAACCATGTGTAAACTATGTTTCCACAATGACCTGTTAACAACCGCAAAAGGCAGTAAATACTTTCTTCTATATTCAGTTTAACTTAAAAATTGCTAATTACCATTTTTTTGAAAAAAATCATGTCGTTGTTTTGCTGAAATCAATTCCAACAGATCTTAATTACTTAAACATCAATAATTTAGAATGCCTTCAAGAATTCTCTAGAATTGCGTGGTACAACACTGCATTCTGAATACATGTACCGGTAGTTATCAAAGGATGTTGTTGCAGGACAAATCGTGCAAGAAAACATCATGGTGAAAATTGCTTTGCATCAAGAGTTTGTTTGATCAAACACATTCAACAATGAAGATTTTGATTTTGTGTTCCCCTAAAAACGTTAACATTATTCTGGTGGTTTGTTATATTGCAATAAAGTGTACGCATTTTTTGTGACCATTTCTGTTTATTCATTGTAAAATTATTGTGGAAATCAATGATGACGCAACTAATTTCGCAATTCTATTTTCCTCAAAGAGATGTTATATTCTCTTCAATCTGGCACATGGTGACTTAAAATTGTCATTTGCATGATTTTTCAAGGGAGTTCTTGACTAAGTGCCCACCCTCCCCTAATACACAAGATTATATTACACTTGAGATGCTTAAAAAAACAAGCAAGTTTTATTCGGAATTATTGTTTTATATAATGTGATGTTCTTCTCCACACTCGAAGACGTTAAAAATTCATGCAATTTCATGATCTTAATTTTGACAACATTTATTTCCTATTGTAATAGCGCTTTGTTGCGTGATTAAATTATTTTTAATTAATTTCATATGGGCGGTAACACCTGACATCTAATTTACATATATTGTACACACTTGCCAAACTTATACAGAAACACATAAGATGAGAAGGTATAAATAATTCACACGATACAAGCTACACGCGCAGCTCTTGGCATTGCGTGACTACATCACTACTAAATTTATGAGATAACCTCCCGCGCAAGGAAAGACTATTTGAAAATAACAATACTGAGTTACATCCCCCTGAGCAAAATGCTCAGTCACCATGTCTAATTTGCATATAAACTGATGCTCATTTATTTATTTGTTTTCACAAAATCCCAGATGAGTGTTCACTATTGTTACTGCATGAATATCAAAATATACTGTGAAAAAGGCTGAAATAAAACTGTAATAAAGAAATCATAATGTATTTATATGTATGCAAAGTAAAAAAAAACAAAACTTACCTTTGAACAATCTTCTATACATTTCATTAAATTTCCAATCTGAAGATGACAGGCAGCTCTATTGGAAAATATTCTGTTTTTATCAAATTAAGGACATAAACAAGAAGCAAGTAGTAATCAAAGAAAGCTTGAAAAAAACTCCTGTGTGCTAAGAGTATTGAAGACACATTAAAAATTAATTCAAAATTACTTGTACATGAGATATTGATGGAAAAGCTGAAAACTAATTATGTAAATCAGGTAACTAATATGAACAGAACAGAACAAAAAAAATATGAATTATTATGCTAATTAGAGAATTAATATGAACAAATTTTAATCCAAAATTAATCAGGCCTGTCTATTGCTCTAGAGCATTTATGTACCAAATTTTATTCAAATGTGATGATCAGTAATTGATTATCAGTGTTAATTAATTATGTTAATTAGGTGATTAATAAGCATAAATATTTACCAAAAACTAATTGGGTCTCTGCATAGTTCTCTTTAAAAGTTTTATTAAAATCCAATTCGTGGTTCTTTATATATCAGTGGAACATTTAGGTAATTAATATCCAATTAAAACTAATCAGGTCTCTGCATAGTCCTAGAAGATCTACGTAGCAAGTATCACTGAAATATGATGATTAGTACTTAGATTAGATATCAGGCAAAAAGCTGAAAATTAACTATTTATGCTAATAAGGTAATTAATATGCACAAATATTTACCCAAAAACTAATCAGGGGTTTGCAAAGTCCTTAAGTAACTATGTACCAAGTGTCATTGAAATGTGATAATTATTACTTGAAATATCAAAAGCTGAAAATTAATTAATTATGCAAACTAGGTAATTAATATGTACTGATATTACCCTAAAATCTATCAGGTCTGTGCAGTGTCCTATGACATCTATGTACCAAATTTCATTGAAATGTGATGATTACTACTTGAAATATCAAAAGCTGAAAATTAATTAATTATGCAAATTAGGTAATTAATATGTACTGATATTACCAAAAAAACTATCAGGTTTGTGCAGTGTCCTATGACATCTATGTACCAAGTTTTATTGAAATGTGATGATTAGTACTTATCAGTAGATATCAGTGGAAAAGCCGACAATTGATTAATCATTATGCAAATTAGGTAATTAATATTGTACAGATTTTTACCCCAAACTAATCAAATCTGTGCATTAGTTTGGAGCATCTATGTGCCAAGTTTCATCAAAATCCAATACGTGGTTCTTTAGATATCAGTGGAACAGTCATGGAACAGCTAAAAATCAGCTAATTATCATGCAAATTAGGTAATTAATTTGCATGGATTTTTACCAAAACCTAATCAAATCTGCACATTGGCCCAGAGCAACTATGCACCAAGTTTCATAAAAAATCATTGTATGTTTCTTGAGATATCAGTGGAACAGGTACACACACACACACACACACACACACACACACACACACACACACACACACAGACAGACTGACACACTAACTGCAAAGACTCCCTTTTCGTGCTTCGTGCATTATGTTCCAATGTATATTGTAGATGAATTTACAAACAGAATTATTGCACTAAAGAATACACTGAGTGGGAGCAACTCAAAGCATGTCAAAAAGTTGTGTTTTTCAGCCATGCTGGTAGGTTTTCACAGCTACATTGAAATTCATGTTATTATCATGGCTTACTTCCATAATAATTATTACAGGTACTAGATGTTGGGTCTAACACAAACAGCCAAATGACTGAACAACACAGCACACTAGAATAACATAGATCTACCTTAAAGGCCCTAGAGATAACACTGGGTGTTATAATTTACATTATGTCTTTAAAAATCAAATAAATTATGAATGAAACTAATCTCTGTAAGATTAAACATTTCCAACTATTAACAAATCTTTTTGTAGATCACAAAGAAATATCAAGTTAGTGAACAGGATAAGAACGGCAGGTGATATTCATTGAAAAGGATACGCATGTAGTTTTCCATTCAGCTTTAGAGCCTGGTTGTATGCATTTACCGCTGCTAAATAATTGCCATTCTGGTAAAATTTACTGTGGGGAAAATAATAATAAAAAAAAATATTAGGTATTATAATTATATTTCTTTTACTCATCAATCATGATGTAAACAATAACCAGAGTTTTATTTGCATTAATAATTCTCTGTCCTCAATACAGTGACAAGGGACAGTCAATAACAAAATGAATTATGGGTAATTTATAGATGAGTGAAAGGAGCATTAAGTTTCACGTCTCGTGTACAGAAATGACTCAAGGGGAACACTGCAGCTTATCTCCAGTCTACACCTGCTCTTTAACCGCAGTGTTTATTGTTTGTGGGAGAAATAAAAGCAAACATTAAAGCAAAATCTTACTCCCGTGTAACCATGGTAACTGAATTATAGTGCTAAAGCCTCTTTCAGGGCAAAATAAGTTGTTGTTTTCATTGAGCTAAATATAACATCACATGGTTAGATGTAAAAACTCATTTATGCCAAATGCGATATGATTTTTTTTTCTTTCCTTAAGTAAGTAACAGTAGATATAACATCACATTTCATTGGTATACTTACTCTCCTTTATCTTTCAAAAAATCTGGATTTTTTTCTTCTTCAGTCAGATCAGGATCCTCAACTCCAATGACACGCCTTGCTTCAGCCTGCTTCTTTAACCACTAATTAACGAACGAGAAATTGACACTTTTAAAACTTTTAGACTGATTGAATGCAGAAATGTCACTACACTGATGTCTGCTTTTTGTCTAAATGCTGGTGTACTGATCCAAAAGCCAACCAGTCAAAATAAGGTTTTGTTTCCAATTTTGTCAGTCAATATAAATTGTAAACATGTATTATATTGTATTATTGTATTATATTTATTGAAGTTCTACATTATTTTGTAAATTTAACTTGGAGTGAATGTGTACAAAAACATGTCACAGCCCCTTTTTTCACTTACCGGTATTACAATAGAACAGAGCAGATAGATAGAACAAAATTCAGAAATTATATACAAAAACATTAGAGATGACAACCATTCTGACAACTATTCGAACAGTCAGTTAGTAATATGACTTTGGTTTTTATCCAATGTAGACTTGACGGTGTCATCACATTGACAAACGCACAGTTTGGATCATTCCATTTTCAGACTAGATGAGGGTGAAGTGAAGTTTTACAAAATGAAGCGTGTTCATTAGAATATATGAAGGGGTTATTTTGAAGTGTTTTAATGTTTCTTGACTTACATACAATGTAAATAAACAAGAAATAAAGAATGGTTATTGAATAAAGACACCAAGTTTGCAAATCATAAATTTGATCACCCTATGGGAGAATGAATCACACACACAGCACACCATCTGTCAAGCAGAGCCACTAAGTCTAGAACTAAGCAACAGCCAAAGTGCTTTGCAAAGTTACGAAACATCTTGCAGACTGACTATGC